ACATGAGAGCCCAGTGTTGGTGAGGCCTGAGTACTCACTGTGGTAAGGATAAAGGGCAGAAGGTGGTGTGTGCATTCATCCAAATCCAGAAACCTCCTCTTTGAGCCCTTAACCCTGATCTTGCACACAGCTGGCCACCTCTCTCCATCAATGTTGCTATTGGCTCCTATCCTGTTCAAAGCTCCTCTGCCTCAGAACTCCCAGCCTTCTTGCAGTGCATTCTACTATGTTGATTCCTGGAGCCCCTGCTTTCTGTTCAGATTGAATTCAGCCATCTGTATGCTGGAAAAATATTGACAATTCTCCGACCTATCATACCTTTAAAAGGCGTTCCCACACAGCAATGCTGCCTTGTTGTATTGAGGCAAAGTCTGTGTTTTATTTAACTCTGAATGCTGGGTACCTAGAATAGCTTGCAAGATAAATGTCAATCAAGTCTAGTATAATCAAGACACCCATTCCTGCCTCATTAGGGTCTTCTCATTCCCTTTAAGCTTTTCAGATTTATACACTGTAATTAGAAACTTGGTGATTTTGACTGCTAAACAGAAAGGCTTACTGGTAAGCTTCATATGTCTGAATTTTAAATATTTTCACACTTCGTTAACCCAGTTGCAAGTGTAACATCTTCTGGCCCAATTCCCTCACGTGGTGTGAATTTTATTTTGGGGCAGAGATGAGCACAATTAATTGAATTGAAAGAAAAACACATATTGATTACTATTTTTTCATGAACTCTGAGCTGCTTGTCTCCCAATGATTTTATTGAAGAACTTTGAGACAATTGTTTGACAGGTTTTTGCCCTCAGTGACCTCATTCTGGCTGGAAGCACCAGTCTGCTATTGCCATGATTTGGGTTTGAGGAATTCTGGTTGTCCCTAAAGGCTGAGTCGCGTGGAAGATGCCATAGTGTTCTTCTTTCACATCTAAGCCCTGACTGATGAACCTTGGAATCCCACTCAGACAAAAAAACTATCTCTGTGAATAGCAAGATTTCTACAATGTTGATGAAAATACTCAGCTCTTTGGAGCCCATTGAAAAAGGGCATTTCTTAGCACACACCACATCCTCTGTGCAATGACTGTCATGCTTCCATTAGGCAGGTGTCTCCAGATGAGCTTAAAGCTCCCTAACTATCTCTATGCCTCCTTCTTAAGGTACAAAAGGTGAAATTTTAGAGTATCTTTTAGAACAGATCTTGTTATGTACTAATGTGCATGGGAATCACCCACAGGGGGATCTTGCCATGGCTCTGGAGCCTGAGATTCTTCACCTCTCGCATGGTCCTATGTGTTGTTGTTGTTGTTGGGGTCTGGACAGAAGACCTTTGACATCACCTGTCACTCAGGAGGGGGAACAATCACAGACACAGATTCTTTATCCCCCACTGAAGTGGATACCCAGTGATCTGAGACCATCATCTCTTTCATCCAAACTTCCTATTCCAGAAGGAAAGTACACTCCTACAGGCTCTGCAGAGAATTCTGAGCTCTTCCTTCTGTGAGACAGAGAGGTGCCAGTGACTGCTGCTTGTTCACAGAAGTGGAATAGTCATGGTGAGACTCACATATGTTATTGGAGGAAAGACCAGAAGCTACCCTGCCCAGGCTCCAAGAGCTCATCAAGGTAAGAACTCCTGACCGAATAGAAAATGTTGAGACATGTCAGCCATAAGAACAAGGTAGCCATAACAAACCTTATGTCTTCTACCTAGGTGCAATAAATAAGTAAGCCCTCATCACGGTTTCATAGAAGATGCAAGTATCTTGCTTCCGGGTGTGTTTTCCACACTCACAAGACACTTGTGTATCCCAGAATCAACTGTTCACAGAATAGTGAGGTGTTCTTCTAAGAATATAAGTCTCACAGCTGGAGAGATGGCTCAGTGGGTAAGAGCACTGGCTGAGTAAGCATGAGGAGCTGAGTTGGATCCCTAGCATCTATGTAGAGAGGCAGGCATGGCTGTAACTGCCTGTAATGCCAGCATTGTGAAGAAGAGAGAGTGTCTGTAGGCTTGTTGGTCAGCCAATCTAGCCAAAAAAAGCAAAAACAAAAATAAAAACAGAAAACAAAGAAATAAACAAAAACCAAGATGAGTTCAAAGTTCAATGAGAGACCCATGCCTCAAAAGGGGAAGATGGAGAGTGACAGAGCAGGACATCTGATGTCCTCCCTGGGTCTCCACACATGCACACACAGACAGACAGACAGATACACACACACACACACACACACACACACACACACACACACACACACACACACACACGATTCTTTAAATTTCTCTGTTTAAATTCCTTCTAGAGCTTTCCACCTCCTCAAGGTAAAAGGCAAACTTTAGGCCCTGCACACTCTACTCAGATACTCTCAAACACACATGGTCTCATCATTCTTCTCCTGTTTGTCAAAACTGGCCTCCTGTTTGTCAAACGTTCCAGTCATCCCCACCTCAGGGCTGTTGCACTCGCTGGGTTCTTCCTGTCAGCCCTGCTTTGCTTTCCCAGACTCTGGCCAGGTTACAGACAAAAAACTACACAAGGGTTTATAACCTTTACTTTGCATGTTTGATGTGGATTTGTTTATCTCTCAGTTCTTACATAGCTGAAGCCTCACACAGTTTGACACATTCAGATTATAAAGTGGAGACCCAAATTCAAAGACAGAATAGTACTTAATCAAAGCCACTCAGATTTGGGGGGTACAAGACTGTTTAAGGATAAATCCAGAGATTGTTATGTGGTGTGGATTTAAAGGGGGAAAAGTTTTACCTAAACACTGCTTGGACCCACTCTCTTTAAGATACATGGGTTCAACAATGGAGAACTAGTCTTCTCTCTCTCTCTCTCTCTCTCTCTCTCTCTCTCTCTCTCTCTCTCTCTCTCTCTCTCTCTCTCTCTCTGTGTGTGTGTGTGTGTGTGTGTGTGTGCACATGTGCATATACAAGCCTTTGCTTTGGCTTTGCTAAGTCAAGGTTGGGTTGTTTATTGAAAGGCACAGACAATCCAAATTTCTCTTCCATTTGCGTCATCCTGTTTTTTCTCTGTAACAAAATATTGTTTTTTGAGGCTAGAAGAGAGTGCTTTGTAATTTATGGGTTCCTCTCTGGAAATTACAGCTAGATCCTAATTTTAAAAAGCAAATTGGTTTCATCTAATTAAATTTGGAAATTGCCTCATAAACATATATTTCGTTATAGATGTCTCTAAAAGCAAGGTCTCCTGCTCACTCTCAGGGGCAAGGCTAGCTTGAGCTCATTGTAGAGGGGAATCCACCTGTCTCTGCTCAAGAGGGCACACTCTTCTGTAGGCTGCAAAAACTTCCTAAAATCCCATGTTTGCTAAGAAAGTACTTCTCAATTGTTTAATGCCCATATGAATCTACCAGGGGTCTGGTTAAACTGGAGATTCTAACTCAGGAAGTACTGATGGGGCCTGGCATGTTGCATCTTTCTGAAGTCCTCAGGTAATGCTGGTCCATGGACCACATTGTGTTATATCAGAGGCTACACCTGAATTCAGGAGACAGGAATATGCCATCCTGGCTGATGACCCTGTGACACATCACATTTCTATCCCTTAACTTCCACATTTTTATGTAATAACATATTACTTCTAAATTCCAAAGACTACGCTAAATATGTACTTAATATGAACCTTGTAGCAACCTCATATAGCAAATTACATTATTATTTTTCTAGGTTTTTTTTTCCAGTTGAGAAGCCTGCAGTCCTAAGAGAATATCTGATATGTCACAGTCCACCTACCAGGTAATGAGGTACTCATGGATTCTGATCTAGGTACCTGACCTCCAAGTTAACATTCTTACCAATCTTGGGCCTCATTAGTCTGTGACATGCACCATCACAGTCATGCTTACACACAGAATACAGTGGACTAAACACACAAAAGCAGAATCCCCCAAAAGTTTTGGTATGTTACCAAATGGCTCAACAGAAATGTCAGTCAGCAGCAATCTACTGGCCCTGGTTCTCTATAATCATAGCCCACAGAGTTACTTGAAAACATCACCACAGAGCCATCTCCAAGAGAGTCCATCAGGAAATGGATTCAGGTCTTTGAGTCTCCACAAGGCACTGGCTTCATAACTAAGTAAGGCAGATATGCTTCTCCATCCTGCTCTCACCTTTGTGTCTAGGGCTCTAGAGACTGTTCCTCACACAGATGGTACAAATTCAGGAGCTGTGACTCAACAGGTCTAACTCACAACTGCGTTTTGGCCACCTTCTCTGTCTGCCTATTTCTTTATTCTGACCACAGAATGGCAACGTTGCTTTGCTAGTCCAGGTCAATGCATAGCCCTATGATATAAAAACCGATGCTGCTCTTGAGAAAGAAGTCTATGCAGAGATGCAGGTACACTTTCAAAACAGTGGAACCTACTGGTTTCCAAGAGCAGGTTAAGTGCAAGGAACAAAGCCTTTCATGACCAAGCTGTCATCATTTCAAATGAGAAAAATAAGGCAATTGCAATGAGCTATTCATAAAGCTAAATTCATTCAATTTCAGAGCCTTTTATTCTGAAATGATATCCTTTTGTAGCTTTGGAATTATATCTTTTTAAATTAAATGTTAATAAGAGGTGATAAAATAGCTTATATTGTTGCCTAAAATCTTTTCAATGTTGCTGGTCCATGAATTCTGAATCCAAAATCCATGGACTGATGTATGTGGAGTGATTCACCATGAGCATTGTGGTTTCCCATGCAAATTTTAGCTTCTGTCTTCCAGGTCTGGGTCTCCTCTTTTATGTCAGCACAATCTGATGCCTTTAACTATTGACCTATTTGCAGAAGAGATCACTCCTAACCATGATCATGTCAATGCATGGTATATCCACATGCATTTGTCTTTGGGATAATCAAAACAGCCCAACTATATGCCCAAGTTGTGTCTCACTAACCTTTATGCCCTCGAAGGAACAGGTATTCACTCACTGAATGAAGCTGAGCCAAATAAAGCATCCCAGAAGCCTCCTTACCTCATAGAGTGTGATGACTCCATTGGTCTCATTGGGAGGTTTCCACTGGATGTAGATCTTCTCCTCAAAGGGCCCCCCTTGGATGGACTCAAGAGGAACAGCTCCTGGAACTATAGAAGGGAAATGTTGTAAGCCTGATGTCACTTCCCACATCCTTTCTCCAGCTCTACTGACCAAGACCATGGTGTATCAAAGTTTCTATAAAGGACTAGGTATTATATTTTAGGACTGATGGCTGATACTATCTCTGATCCAGTATCTTGACTCTGCCATTGTAGCACAAAATGACCATAAAAAATCTTTAAATAAATAAATGTGGGTGTATTTCAATAAAACTTTATTTCAAAAATCAGACAATGGGATAGATTTGACTCATGGACTGACAACTTCTCATCCACTTATTGAGCAAGCCTACTGGTGACATGAACCTGATCAGGCACAGGGGATGTAAGTAGGCTTCAGCCTGCTTTATTGTTATTTGATGCATGCAAAATGAGTTTGCCATCATTTTAATACCTCAGTCCCCCGGTCCTGCCAAGTTTTCTCCAACTTTATAAAGTACTTCCTTGGTTTCTTAATTCCTGGATCCAGCAGTAACCATGTGCCCAATTAGAAGAACCTCATCTTGCTCCAAGAAGTCAGCTGACTCATGCTGCTGAGTCTCTTAATCCCTTGTTGGGTGGATGCTTAATATCCACTTGTTGGTTGGCTGAAGAGGTCGATGCATAACTTATGCCAGTATTTGGCTCTAATGAGCACATTTTCCCTGGGACTGCTTCTGTAATAGGCCAGTCTTTCCATCAGCATCTTCTGGATGGTTCTAGCATCCTCACACAACAGTCTGGAAGATGCTGAGCCAGAAAGTAAGCGATTCCCCAAACTTCCACTTATAAGCCCTTAGAGGATGAAGAATACATGCAAATCATTACCAGATCTATTTATACTTCAGAATTATAAAAGCAGGTACTCTTACTAAGTGCTTACTCTTTGATCAGAATTTTTCATACATTATTTCACTTAAGCTACAAAACAGCTCTGCCTAGTGTGTATTATCTCCTTGATGCTGATAAAGGAAATGAAGCTGTGAGGATTAAGTAACTCGGTCAAGGTCATACCACTCTTAAGTCGTAAAGAGGGAACAGAACACCTGTCTCAGAGCGTCAAAGCATACACTCTTAATCATCACGCTACACTTCTCTGGGTAGAGCCTCAGCCATATGCTGCAATCAGTTCCCCATTGTTAAATTAAAATGTATTTAAGTTTTTCTCATTATGGTCATGATGCATATAATTTGTAGATATTAAGAATATACAGAAAGATCTTCTGGTCTGTACCAGGTTCTCTGAATATATATAATAGCTTCAGTTTAGTATTTTTCTGGGACTCCTGAGTGTGTGAACAAGTGGGTCTCTGGTTCTTGTGCCTTCTCTTGGGCTTCCTTCCTTTTGTTGGTTTGTCTTGTCTAATTTTGATGAGAGTTTAAAAATATTATTATATTTTAATTTGTTGTGGTTTTTTTTGGTTATCTTGTAGAAGCCTGTTCTTTTCTAAGGAGAGACAGAGAGGGAGTGGATCCGGATGGGAAGAACTGAGAGGGGTAGAAGGAAGGGAAACTGTCATCAGGATAGATTGTATGAGAAAAGAAATCTATTTTCAATAACAGGGGGAAAAGGAAAAAATGAGAAACCAAACCAAACCAAACAAACAAACAAATATTTTAAAAGAGGATGAACAAAATCACTCATACCTAAATCCAAAGATAGTTTTCCATTATTGTATGGAAATACAGCTACATAAACATTTTTAAAATATAAAATTTGAATTTACTTTTTTTCAAAATTAATCCATGCTGTGTAAGCTGTATTTTACCTTCATTTATAAGTATAAAATCATAGATATTACAAATTCCTAAAATCCTCATGTTCTTTCTGAAATCAGACATTGTAATGACCATTTGGAGGCACGTGAGTGCATTATAGTCATAGCAACTGTCCCTTCTTATTGAGTATAAAGCTGGTTGAAATGTTTTATGATTATGGATGTCACTGGGTTAAACATGCTTTTATTCAGTTACCACACAAAGTATGAGTTTCCTTCTGAGATATTAATATGTTCATTGTTGTTGGATCTCCCCTCCCCTCCATTTCCCTGCCCCTGCCTCTGCCCTTATGCTTCTAGTACCATGGTTCACCTCCACGTCTTGTGTATTCTGTTCCCTACCCTGGGTGCCTCACTTACAACCCATATTTCCCCTTTCATGGGCCCCTTGGGTGTGGCATGACTCCCACCAAAACTCACTTTCACAAAAATACACACATAAAAAATTAGAAGCTCAGAGCTATCTACAAGAGACAACATGTAATATTTGAAACTCTGGGCCTAGATCGCCTGACTTAACATAACATTTTCCGGTTCCATCCATGTTCTTGCAATTTTCACAATTTCAGCTTTCTCGATGAGCATTCTTATATGTAAGAATCTGCATGCAACTTTGCTTGTGTCCTCAAGACAAATTTGTGGCAATTAATTTACTAGGCCTAAGTAGATCTTATTTTTAGGGATTTTGACACATATTACCAGATTGCCTCCCAGAAAGTCTGTGTAAGTCTGGGCTCCTAACAGGAGAATATGCCTAGGCCTGATTTCTTCCCACACTGACTATTTAAAAAATTAAGTATATGTGTCATTTTTAGAATACTGGAAAGCACAGGGTTTTTTCCCCCTGCTTTTAATTAGTAATTTGCATTGATTCTTTTAGGAACATGCTCTCTACACTCTGTGCTCATCTTCCTGTATGTGTCTTCATTTTTGCTCATCTTTGTCTTATGGAATTGTCACTACCATCCCTTTGTAAAGACACACTTATTTTTGAACAGTTTACAAATGGGGTTTTTATCTTTGCTCTTTTTTATGTCAGATTTTCACTTGCTTCTTAAAGCTTTTAGGGATGTAGAAGCTTTTGAAATGAGTCAAAATTTTTATTGCTTCTTCCTAACCCCCTCTCCCTCTCCACAAATATATCTTAATTAATATGATGAGGGGATGGCTATTGACATTAGGGCTATACAAATAACAAAGAGAAATTTGGCCAAATCCTCCTAAAACTTGTGATCCAGGGAGCAGACACATGTTAAATAACTACACTCATAGATCATTTCATTCAAGTTACTATCAGAACTCTCAAGTAAGGGTATATGGTGCTAGGAAAACAATGAGCAGAGAAAAGCTAGGCTAGCAAGCCAGGGTATTGAGTGGCATGTAAGTTAGAGTTGATGGATAAGTAGAAGTACTAGGGTAAAGGCAGGGAGTATTGGGAGTGTGGTGGATAGCTTTCTGAGGTCAAGAGTGGAAAGAGGAAAATCAGTTAGGAAGTCTGTAGTCATTTTGGAGACAAAGGATGTTAGCAGCAGGGCAAGTAGTATAGAAGAGAAATGAACTGTAGGAGATTTCTGTCATGCTAAACCAGCATGAATTGATGGAGATGGATGAGGGCAAAGATGACAGGCTGTGTCAGGGAGGGTCCCCACACTGTTAAATATAACTCGGGAGCCAGGCTGTTGTTCACATAGGGAAGGAGCTGAAAGTAGGACTAGTTTTGGAGAGGAATCTGGTGAGCTCAGCTTTACTCAGACTTGAGGTATATGTAGAACATCCAGCCAGAGTGGGTGAAAGTCTTTGGAGAGGCAAGGCTGAGGCCAATGTTTGGATATTGAAATCATGTCCTGGAAATAGATCCAACCGCAAGTGTGTAGAGAAGAGGAGAAAGGCAGTTCTCAGACTCAGCTAAGAGATACTTGTCTCAACAATGAGGAGGGAAACACATGGGGACACTAGGAGCCAGTGTTAAGAGAAGCAACTAGGAAACCAGAAAGTTGACTTGTCAGTGCAGCAGCTATGGAGGGAGAGGGAGTTGGGAAGGGGTTGATTATCAGCGATGGATATGGTTGAATGGTCAACTCAGAAGTGGCCTTGAGGTTGCTCTTGAACCTAGTGTTCCAACACTTGTGGCCAGAGTAATAATACTTTGGGGAAACTGGTTGTGTAACACTTCCTGGAAAGGGCTGAAAAAGAAGTAGAATATGAGATGCAATGAGCAAAGACTTTTAGCTATGAAGGGCAAGACAATGTAAAAGACAGCAGAGATGAGAAGTGAAGGCAAAAAAAAAAAAAAAAAAAAGACCATTTCCAAAGACGGGAAGGGTTACCATCATTAGGCTAGTAAAAAATAATCCAAAAAGGGCTATGAGCTAGAAGGGTGGGAAAGAGCGAGGTGGCTGACTTGGGAGTGCTCTGAAAAGACAAGAGCAGGAATGGGTGGGGAGAGGTCCCTTTATCACTGTGAGGAGTGAAGAGAGAAAAAACCGGTGGAGCTGCTTAGGCAGGGAAACTTCAGTAATAGCTTAATATTTCTGGAAAAGTGGGGGATCATCTGTCTTCCAGGAGTGCAAGAAATTGAGGAGAGTTGAGACGGTTGAATCATTGAGGAGCAGACAGTGAAGTGAAGAAAGAAATGGGGTTTCTACTGATTCATCTGAATGTTTGGAGATGGGGGATGGTCTGCCTAGTGGAAGAGGGGCTCTCTGTTGAGTAGCAGAGGGCTAGGTTGGTGAGAAATTGTGAGGGATGGCAATGGATGAGGGTTTGTCTGATGGCAAATATGATGGTGAAATTCAAGTTGCAATACCTTGTCTTTCCAGCTGAGGGCAGATTCTCACTCTCATCACAGATTAGGCCAATAGAAAGCACGAATGAGTAATTATTTTATAACCTTTTTATTGACTGTCATTTTTTTCTTTTTATACTGAGTACTGTAATCTATCTGAAATTTATTTTCTACACTGCACACAGTAGAAATTTTACCCATAATTCTTTACAATGTTCTTAGGACAATTATTTGCCCAGTGAAAACTTTCCACAATGATTTAAAATGCCACCTTTCTATGATGGGTTATTTTATAGCCTGGCATATGTTTTCAGCCTTCATGAGTCATAGCTCTTAGTATGACAGTATCTCCCTGTACTTTGGGGTGACATGTTTTAATACTTGGCAGAACAAGGCTTTCTCTTTCATTATTATTCCCTCTCAATTTTTCTGGGGTATAGTTATCC